TCACCTTGAAGTTCAGTTAATGTTAAAGGTTTTAATTAAATTTCCAAATTAAATACGAAAAATTAAAAAATAAATCAAACTGTAATTTATTACAATATTTATATTTATAAATAATAAAACTGATCATTACAAGTTATTGTATTAAATGATAAAGAAAAAGTTAAATTTTATATATTTGCCTTAACTAATCTAGACTATTGAAAGTTCACTAGTGTTTCACTTTTGTTATTTTAGAGCACTATATGGCTGGGGGCCAAACTGAACTACAATATGACAATATAGTTTGTTAACAAATATTTTGTGTTATTTTCCAGAGTGTGTGCAATTTTAATCACACATCATCAACATCATCGTCAATGACGTTATTTTTGCCTCAATTCAACTAATAAATTTAATTATAATTTATCAAAGCCTTTTTTTGCTTGTTAAGAATGTATTGTTGAAATTTTGTAAATTATTACTTCGATTCATTCCTTCACTCATTCATCCACTCACTCACTCACTCACTCACTCACTCGATCAAACACACATTCATTCACATCGTTTTAATACCAAGTTAGTTTTAAGTTATAAATAGTACAATATTAAAAATGTTTGCAGTATTAATTTAAAAATTTTAGTTTACAATTTTTTCTTGTCTTTTTTGTTGTTGTTGTTGTTATTTTATTTATACTTCTCGTGTGTCCATTGCAAAATAAACGTTTACAACAATAATGATGCAGCGTTTATGTTTTGGAGGCATATGATTTTTTGGTTTTAGTTTTTATACACTACACCACTTTAGTGGGGAGGGTATATTGGGTTTGTGCTGATGTTTGTAACGCACAATAATATTGGTTAAAGTATACCAATCGGCTTATAATCATTTTCTGTGTCGATTTAGCTTTGTCCGTCCGTCTGTTCGCCCGTCCATGTACATGATCTTCTATTGTTTTAGGGACGAAGCCTATTGAAAATGGTTATGATCGGTCCATTATTTCACCTAGCCCCTATACAACTGAATCTCCGAAAAGGGCTTGTAAACCTGGTAACCAAAGTACAGGTCGCAATTTTGAAGAAAATTCAATAAAATTTTGCACATGATCTTCTATTGTACTAGAGATAAATCCTAGTGAAAATTGGTAACATCCGTTCAGTATTTGACCTAGGGCCCATACATCTGTACCCCCCGAATAGGAACTTCAATATACACAATTTTATTCAGTATATCTGAGGCAAGGTACAATTCAACTTAAATGCATTATTATGAACACTAAATCACATTTTATTTTTATAAGTGGTGTTGGGCATTATGTGGTCGGCATCGGCCGACTATAATTTTTTAGTTATTTTTTTTCTTAAATTTGATTTTTGTTGTTAAAGATTACATAATATTGGAAAAAAAGTGGTAGCCATAAATAATCAGATGCTACTAACTGTTTGGCAGAAGTTTAAGCTAAAAATATGAAACTGATTTTTTGAAAGGCTTTGCTTTTGTTTTTGCCTTTAACAAAAGTTGAAAATTTGAATTTAAATAACAGTTATAAAAATGTAATTAAATTAATATCTAAAATATTTCTGGGTTTCGGGCAACATTTTTTTGATATAAATTTGCTTTTGTTTCATAAATGAAAATTTGCATTTATATTCAAATTTCTTGCTAAGCTTAAGTCATTGTAATATTAAACTGTTCATAGTGTCTCTGGATACTAAGACTCTTTTTGAAGTGTTTTAAGATCGATAAATTAAACTTCTAAATCGGATAAAATTGCTTCTGAATCTTATATTCATTGAGTCTTGACTCTAAAGTGAAATATATAGGATCGGCTTTTTATCTTTTCAACAAACTCAAAACTAGCATCAAATGACTTGTTGAGTGAGAATAATTTGAAATCAATAAAAACATTATTTACACCTCAATTAATAATGACATTGTTAAAATAAATATTTATATATTGTTACAGTTTTTTACACTTAAACTCCCAGCTAATGATAATGTCTTTTCAATAAAATTTATCTACTTTAAACTTTAACAGCTTAAAAGGGCCATAATTATTTATTTCAGCACTTAAAAGCTTAACATTCAATAAATTACAATTAACTTAAGTATTAAATAAAATCAGCATTTTTTGCTCTTTCTCTCTCTTTATATAACATGTGCTGAAAAATAATTTATTACTTACTAATACAAGTGCATTTTTGCAAAAATTTCAAAATCAAGGGAATAAAGTTATAAATTTATAAACTTCAATTTTAATTTATATAATTTCAGAGGTAAACTAATGTTTGCTTTTATTTATCACATTGTAATTGAATAATCTATTCATAGGAATTCATTGAATACATTAAAATGAGGCAAACAAAATTTAAATTCATCATTTGAAAAAATTTTATTAGATCAATGTGTTTAACAAATTGTGGAAATACAATATATTGAAATAGACTAAAGCAAACTTTAAACCATATTCAATGTAACTAATGAAAATACTGTGAACTGCACTGAGGAGATGTAAACCCTTGGGGAGCAAAAAATTAAAATTATTTCCGTTAGTAATTTGAAAATCTACATTGATATTACATTTATATATATTCTTCATGTTGCGGATCGTACTAAAACTAAAATCTGGCTGAAATAAAGATTTTAAACTCTATAATTTGTATTTTAAAAATGTTGTTCCTTGGAAATGGTGTTGACATTTGTTGGTCTATGCATGAGCAATGAAATGTACAAATAGTAACAATGAATATTCATTAACAAGTTTTAATGCAAACTAAAGAAACAAAAAATTGCTCTCAACTGCATTAAATTAACCAACCAGATCTATTCAATAGAAAACTGAAATAATAAATGAAAAATAATAAAATTTTTCACTGACACTAGGTTACTAGTTTAACGCTTAAGATTGAACATGTTTTTTTTACTTTTTTTCTGCCAGAGATGTTGCATAAATTACAAAAACCGACAACAAAATATAAAAAAAAAAATAAATAAACATGAAGCATGAAATTGTAAACAGAAAAAAACATCAACTAAATGGAAATTATAGAAGATAAATTAAATAAAAACGTTAAAAAATTGAACAAAGACAGATGAGAGAGAATGATGTGTTTCTTGGAATGCAATTGATAAATAATTTATGATGTCATTGTTGCAACTCAGTGAATGATTGTCTGACTGAGTGACTGACTAACCGAATGACTGACAAATGCAACTGCCACACTGAGTAAGCAAATATTAAAGTAAAAAACCTCAGTAATTTATTGTTATTTGTTGAAAACATCTATAAACGTTATATGGCTTAATAATTAAATGACACTTGTGTAAAATATATATATTACAAATACGAGGTACGAGAAACCCAACAAATGTTTATGGTAAAAAAGTGAAAATAATTGTCAATTATTTCCAATAACTTGAATTATGGTGTCAAGTTCAATGAATGAATGATTGAAGTAAATATTGTTTACAAAACAAAAAATGTACATATTGTAAATTAATTGTTTAAATGTATAACAATAAGTGATATAACAATAAAAACAAAACAGCGAACACAACTAAAACTACAGAAACAAACATTTTTAATTAATTAAACGTAAATGTTTTATACAATAAGGACTTGTACTCGTGTATTTAGTATTAACACTTGTTTTTTTGTTTATAGAAATTCTTGTATTTTAATATAATCAAACGATTTAAGCGACAAACTTGTTTTATATACATATGGGCAATTTCGTGTCAAGTGACCCAACTCAAGAAATAGATTTGGATGAAATTTGCACCAAGGTTAGTACTATTGGATAGTAGGCCAGATACAATCTTTCAGCTCTATCGGTCGAGAACTGCCGGACTCCTTTGGACAATTTTTGCTAGGACCAATAGATGAAAAGTTACACTCATTTAAATAAAACCTTGTATGACCAAAAAGTCCAAATTTGACCCCCTCTAAGTCAGGCAGTTCCGAACTGAAAGAGCTGATAATTTGTGTCTTGCCTACTATCCAATAGTACTAACCTTCGTCCACATTTCATCCAAATTCGAAGGCATCGATTTTAAAAATTGGATCACTTGACACGAAACTGCCCATATGTATATAAGCCAGCACATACAGATTTCTTCTGAAGTTCAGGTAATAAAGAAATTTAACTGTCGATAACACCTTCGTTAGTCATGGTTTAAACTGTTTTATAGAATAAATACATTTAGTAGGAATTTATGGAATTTAATCTTTAATTTTCATATAAGGGCAATTTCATGTCAATTGACTTAACTTAAATAATCTGAATTTAGATGATTTTTACTATTAGATAGTAGGTCAGACAATAATTTTCAGCTCCATCGCCCAAGAACTGCCGGATTTAGTGGGGTCAAAGTTGGACATTTTGGTCTTCAAATGATGACAAACTTATAATAAAGTTATTGTTATCTACCGTAACGTTAATAAACGAAAGAAAATGTCCGTAAATATACAAGTTAAAAAACGCGTCATTTATCTGTTTGAATGCAACATAAAATACCTTTTATTCAAATGTTAGATTTTAAAAAACTTAAAAACTAGTTACCTACTTATTTGCATTACCCGTATCTTATTTGAGTAAACAATTTTTTAAACTGTTAAGAAAGAACAAAAAAATTTACATAAACAATGTAAAACCGCAGAAAATTGTTAAATGATCTGTTAAAAAAGTCGTATGTATAAATGAATTATTTGTCAAATTTAAAAATTTAATGAATAAATCATACTAAAACATTTAAAGAAATAAAACACAAAAAAAATGACTACAGAAGGTGTGAAGCAATAATTTTGAGTTAAAATATACATATTATTAAGTTAAAAATGACAGATATGACGTTGACAAAATACTTACTTAATAACCATATTAAATATTAAAAAAAAACATATTAACTTACGTATGTATTTGTTGGTAATTTATATTTTTTTTTTAAATGTTGCGCTTAAATTTAAATTGTTGCTCTTTTTTTTGTTTCTAATAATTGTTTTATTTTGTTTTCTTATTTTCAGCTTTCAAATCTAAATTATTTACTAGTCACTGCCACCTGTTTTGTTAGTATATGCACGGCGATAAGAGTGGATTGGAATACGAATACAGGTCCCATAGTACCACCAACACCTAGAACTACCGTTAGACCAGTGCCACCATTTAGAGAACCGGCACCGGTGTGGGAGGATTTAAGTAATGATATACCCAATCCAAATCCTTACATGTAAGTAGAAGTGCTTAACAACACAAACTGTTTAATCAAAAGACTAAAGATAAAAGACTTACAAATTCAAACAAATTTTAATGAGTTTTTTGATTTTTCATTGTTTGGTTTGACTTATTTATAACATAATATTTAAGTGCAAACAAATGACTACAGACATAAACAGCTTCTCGATTTAAATCAAATAAAAAAAAAATAAATGCATAAAAAATGCTATTTTTCTTTTTAATATTTTTGATTGATTTATTTATATAGGAAGTGATACATGATTTAATTCAATAACCAAACAAACAATATTAAATTTACAAAAAAAAAAAAAAAAAACTTTCCTTTAAGAAACTTTAAGCCATTTTTCTAACTAACCTACTAACAAAAGACCTAAGAAACGAACTTTATCTTTCACTAATTCTCTTTTTTTTTCCTAAATATTTTTTGGATTTGTTGCTTATTGATTAGTTATGTGCCACCACCACCTTCACGTCCTAAACAACGTCTGAACACAAATATCAACTATAATCTCAACAGCAACAATAACAACAACTATGGCAGCCTTGTTACACCACAAAATGCAAACTCTTACTATCAACAGAACCACTCGCCTTCAGTAGCAAGTTTGTCACCTCAATATATACCCAATGTGGGTACCAGATATGTGGCTGTAGTACCAACTACTTCAACAACAACCACAACAACAAAATCTTCATTTGCCAACAACAAATATGCTCAAACATCATCATCAGCAAATGCACTTTCACCGGATAATAAAACCTCTTATAAATTGCAAGGCAAATACAATGTCAAAACGAAAAAATACAAAGCATACGAGAAGGTCAAATATGTGCCACTTAATTATGTAAGAGTCTATAATTATCGTTATTTCTAAAGAAAAAATTAAGCTTCTTTAACTTCTATATATTTTTCTTTTCTATTTTTTTTGTTTGTTTGTGTAATATATTTAAAAACAAAAACAACAATTTATTAAAAAACGAAACTAAAGTTTATATTTTTTCTGCCTCAGTGAAGCTTTATATAAATATACATACATATTTTATGGCTTTATTAATATTAATATAATAATATTTTCCAATAAAACAAAATTTCTAGTATTTAAGTTAAAAAATAAATAATAAAAATATTTTTTGATAATAATTGTGTAAAAAAATTACTTCCCCAAAAACTCATTCCTATGGTGTTTTTTATTCCTTCAACAGCATGTTGCAACTCCTAATCATCATTTTACCATAACAAAATTAAACATTTAACTCCCACTAACCATCCTCCCCCTGCTCAGCATTACTCATCTTTTAACAATTTAATCACTTTCTTTTAGTATTCTACACCCAAGCCCAGCAATAAAACAACTGAGGCTCCAGCATCCAGGAATAAACAGCTAAACAAACAGGAACTGCCTGCCGTCAACATAAAACAACAATGGTCTTCCCCTTTCATTTCCAAAAATACCACCATGAATCCAATTAAAACTTCCACCACGCCTTCCACCAAATCCTATACCAAGCATGTATATGTTAAGGATACGACGGTCAAGCCAAAGGCAAAATTCAGTGACTCTGTAGATAAGGCCAAGAAAAGTTGAATTAGTTGTTTAAGTTAAACAATAACTATTCTAGAATTTTAATTGTTATTATTTTTTATATATTTTCTTATTATTTTAAATTCTCCTATTATGAGCACAAATAATAGAGATAAAATATACAAAAAATATTATTGAAATTTATATTGCTTTAATGAACGCTGTTGTGAAGAATTCAGTTTGAAGTTAATAAACTATTATTGCCATATTTGTATTGGTATGAAAGCAAAATGAAAAATTAAGCAAAATTGTAAATTGTATACAAAAATATTTAATTAATTTGTAAATAAAAAAAGCACAGTGTATGATAATATTGTAGATTAGATTGTGGTATAGTTTTTTTGTAAAGAAATGTAAGTATTGGCTAAAAACAAAAAAAAAAAAAAAAAAATGTGCGTAAAACAAAAGACTTAAGAAGGAAACTTTTTCTAAAAAGTTGACAGTGTAACAGATGTATTAAAATCTATATTAGTAGTAATTCTTCATCTTAAGGAAATATAACATCGCACAATATTTTAAATTTAAATTAAAAAATTATTTTATTGACATTTAAAAACAACAAAAACGAATGGCCAATGAACTTTTTTGGTTTTTATTGTTTATATTTTTTATACATTTTGGTAGCAGTTTTTTTTTAATATTTTTGCATTAATTAATACGAAACAATGAAAAAAGTGAAGCAAACAAAACTGCTCACAACGCAAATTATAATTATGCATAATCAATGAAACACGAAATTAAAACTCATAAAATTAAAAACATTTTAAATTGGAAATAAAAATAAATTTGAAATTTATTAATTTCTCACACTTATCAAATAAATAAAAATAAGTAAGTGTGTTATATACATCTTTGCCGAATTTATATACCCATCAATAAAACCTTGTATTATTATTAGCATCAGGTTGACTTTCGGGAAGAGGCTTTTATGGGGACTTGGGTCAATTATGAAGCGTACTCTTTAGAACTTGAGTGCGTGGCGAATTTCTAATAATAAATCACGTTTTGCTGTATTTCTATTAATAACTTGTCTTTTAAACGCTTCATTGATAATAAAGTGATTTTATCTAATAGGAGTTATATGGGGAAAGGATTCAATAATGAATCGATCCTTTAGAATCTTGGTAGAGACAGTTCGGTTCATACAAAATAATGAGCTTAATAAATAAAATTTCTTCATGTAAAATGTCATCAATCTACTTGTATGAAGGCGTCCTTATATGGGGCCTAGGGTAAAATGTAGACCGATTTTTCCCTATGATCCTGAAAATTTATATTTTTATGGGTCTATAACCAATATTTCGTTGTATTACAAACTGAATGACAACATTATTATAACCGCCATATTTTTTGATAGAGGGTATAAAAGGTGAATGAATGATAAAAAATCAGCTTATGAGCGTAAAAAAAAACTGGAAATGTGGAATATATAGCAAAAACGTGACGATGCCCTACACTTGATATAAGTATTGATGTCTATATTAAAGATCGAGTTAATGTTGACCGACCCCTATTGAATTTGGTATATTGCTTAATTTGCAATTATGGAAGCTTAACAGTTGACTATAATAAATCATATACATATGTACATACGTATGTAGTATTTAAAACTGCTTAATTTCGAAAAACTTCATCATACTTGGAGCTAGAGATAGTTAACTTGACAAACGCAAAACCATACGACGCAACAAAAGCTAAATTAAAAAATATGGGTGAGAGAATCCAATAAGGCCTCTTAGAATAATGAAACAGTGGGTAGAACTACAAAGATCCTATGGGGTGACCCTGATGAGAACAAGACGAGAAATCTCCTCAAAATAAGCAATAGAGTTTAACCGACTCATAAAATGAAGCTGAGTTTATAGATGTACTTTAATTTGGGTGTTTAAATATTTACATTGTAATTGTTATAAGTTTAATGTCTCTTTTTATTGTTAAAATCTTTATAATAATGAAATCATATAACAGATGCCACTGGCTGTTGTAATATTATCGGCAGTGTTGGTTGTTTGCGATTCATTAGTCGTACATGTGTTCTGCTGTGCGGTGTTCGTGTCTGAACCACACTTTGAAAACCACTGTCGCCCACTACTTGATAATGGACCATACGCACCATTCCATTGGGTTCTAGTAGACCATATTGACCCATTACTTTGTCACCTTGACGTTCCTCTAAGTGCATCATGTGAACATTGCTCGGCGGATGATCGATAAAATAGTGATATTTATAGTTTAACTGGAAATAGAGGAAAATTTAGTTTTTTGGAAAAGTTGTTTAAATACTTTTCTGGCTTTTTTTTGTAATATTAAGAGATATTAAAAACTAGAGTAATCAATTATTTGGGTTTATGTTTTCATCATTGTAAAAATAGACTTTTCTGGTATAAAACCTAAAAAAAGCTAAAGTGATCTTTCATATTTTTTTACAAAAATCAATTTTTTGGTCGAAAATGAAAAATTTAAATAAGTTTTTTTATTAATTGGTTAATTAAAACAAATTTATCGCTTTTTGTGTTATTTGAAGTTTGGCAATTTTCAATTTTTCGAACAATTAGTCTATCAGTATTAATGGAACCACTGGTAATCGATTGATAAACCTAGTATAAACTATAAAGGGAAAATAAGTTTAGTTTCACTTTAAAATTTAAAATATTAATCATTCATATTTGCCAATATAATATTCATAAAGTTAATCTAATATTATTTTCTAGACTTTTGAAATTGAAAATTATACAAATGAGGTTGTATTAGAAAATATACCTTATCATCACCGGGATAATTGCGATAATTCGAATAATATTCCGTATGTAAAGGATTGACCAAACCAAAAGTCTTCCTGGTAAGCAAAAGCAGCATGATAAATATTATTAACAACAGCATATTAAATTTATTTTGAAACATATTTTGCTATAAAAGAAAAGAAAGAAATAAAAGAGAAATATTATTAAAAAAGTTTTAATAAAAATATTTAACAGAAACCTTTTTAGGTGTCTAAATAAATGGACAAAATTTCTTATATAATACTTATATAAACATCTCTTTTTGCAGTATGGTTCATTTCTTTGTTTAGTAAAATGTTGCCACGTTATATCTAAGTCACGTTAAACAATTTTCCATGAAACGTTTTACAAATTATTAACAAACATTTTTCACACTTGCTGCCACTTAAATAGAGTCAGTCAGACCAGAGTTAGTATTGTTTTGTTTGGATTTTCTGACGTGACGAACTTAATCAATTTGTTACCAAAAAATGTAAAATCCGGTAAGTTTACCACAACTACTTACTACCGTTGCCACTATTACTACTTCTTGCTACTACAGTTACTTTAAGTTATTTAGTTTAGGTCTCGCTCTTTCTATTTGATAATCATCTTGAAAAATGTTCATACTAACAGACATATTTGTATATATATGTATGTATATTCATTACCTTGTGTTTCTTTTTACAATTTAAAGGTTCAGTTGAATTTGACCCTTTCGTTTTTTTTTTGGTCTTGTACTCGTAACTGGGTAGTTTATATTGTAAATGTTTACAATTTTACTTAAGGTGTCTAAAGGTGTTTCTTTGAAAGTTAAAAATCTTTACATTTATTCAATCATGTTGTGGCTTTTATAAGGAAGAAGAAATCTTTATTATTAGACAATTTAACATGATCATGATGACGTTGATAAGATTTTATTGCATGCATGATTTCCTTAAAGATTTACATAAAGGGAGAGGTGAACTCAAAGTTGTTTAAATTGTATTGCAACAAGTTAAAAGTTAAAGATGTAATGATGGGTATAAGTAATAAATAGGAATAAAAAACTTATCGTAATATAGTTATTATTCGTATTTTTTTAGGAAATCTTATGAAAGCCTTTTGTATTTGTCAGCATACAAAACAAAAGACTTAAGCAAGAAGCGTTTTGAAGTAAGATTAGCTATTTAGATTCATTATATAGAAATGTTCCAAGATTTTAATTAAATATAGATTTTACAACTTCTTTTGAAGAGGATTGAAAGTTAATACAGACATCACTATAAAATCTTTACTAATCCATTTATTATCTTTTATTCATACATACTTCTGAATAGGTAGGGTTATAGTAATTACATTTTTATAACCCTTTGAAATAATTCAGTTAAACCTATAAAGCTTTATTTTTACAAAAACTTCAGTTTGTTTCGTTTCATTGTTGGCTTCAATAAATTAATAAATATTAATGAGAACTTCAAAAGACAAACACAATTAATTATGAAATATTAGCAATTATATTTTAATAATTTAATTTTTTCGTTAACATCTTGACACTTTTTTTTCCCAGATTACTTACATTTGACTTAAATAAAACAATACTCATATATAAATATTTATTTACCCACATTCACACATGAATTTTATGATTTTATTTTGGCAAAAAGAATTACGCAATTTTATTCCACTAATGCAATGCATTCAATTGTATGAAAAAAAAAACTAAATAATTGTTAAATAAAAATGAATGACCCACTTTTCATAAAACCGCCCAATTGCTAAATTGCACATTAACAAAAATGTATTTTCAATTTTTAATAATTAAATGAATTTCTTGTAAAGCGTAACAAACAAACCTGTTGTTCAAACTTGTAAAAGAAAATTATTATTTTTCTTTTAGACTACAAATTTGTTTTTTTTATTAGTATTTTTAATTTATGCAAAATCAAGTACATAACTGCAAACACTAAATAAATATGTAGTTTTTAATTTGTTTTTTTTTTTTTGGTTTTTAATATTTCACGCTTGGCATTAAATTGTAAAGACTGCAATTTAATTATTAGACATATTGTTTTAACAACTTTGAAGATTTGTTTTATGAAGGTGGCATTATAAAATCAACAAAAGTTGAATGAAAAAAAAAAAACCAACTTTAATGGAAACCATCATGAATGAGTCTTTAGTTCAATACTAATTTAGATGCTATGAATTTTTTTCACAGATTAACCCTTTTAATAGCGGAGATAACGTTATTACTGAGCATGGTTTGAATTTTAAAGTGTTGTTACTTTTACAGTTATTTCAAAGGCGGTTTTTGGCAAATATGGCAATGAGAAAAATATTTGTTATGTTTGACATATGTTTGACAAATTGCAATTAGACTTAACCCTTTAAAAACTGCGTCAGTATTTCTCCATGTCTCATAATTTATTATCAATTTAGCGATGCTTTTCTGCCCGCGTGTTAGTTAAAATCGGATAAAAATTGTGTTGGTAAATTAAAAAAAATCTATTTAGTTTGAAAATTTTTTTTGGATTTCTTTGTACATATTTCAATTTATTCCAATCACTTTAAGGGTTAATATATCTTATTGCAAATATTGGTTAGTTTATTTTATAATAGAAAAAAAGAAAATATTTATAAATTATAAATATTGCATGTGTGTTTTCCCAACAAAATAAAGTTAGTCATTTCATTTTATAACTTCTGTTTTGGTTTCCTTACAGCATCGATATTGATATTTTAATGTTTATATTTATTTTGTTTTAATAACTATTTTTTATATCTGGTCTGGATAAACAAGTTACAAAATACTATTATTACTAGCCGGCTCCTCTCAGCATTGTGTCACTGGGAAATGTCAAACCGGGTAGAAAAAAACCCAAAAAAAAAACTTAAACCCAAAAAAATTTTACAATTTTGTGATACAACATCAATGGGAGACTCGTACCAAACTGGACTTTTGAGTTTTGACTAAGTTTGGCAAGATTGCATTGAAGAAGAAATAAAAAACCGAAACAAAATTTCATAACTTCACAAGAAAAAAAAGACATAAAAGTAAAAATTACTTATTGTAAGTAAAAGCTATTACTCTAAAGACTGGATCATTTGATAACTTTTTGGCTAATGGCATAATTTTTAGCTTCTAGTAAATGAAAATGGTTAACAAATCAAAACACACAACAATGTAACAACTTGAAACAAAAACTAAAAAACAATTCAAAGTTTTTAGTTGCGAGAAGTAAAAAGAAAAAATCTTTTATTTTATACAAGACTTTTCAAATAGTTGTGAATTTTAATCACAAATTTATTTACACATTTATAACTCTTATTCGTGAAGTCTTTGAAGAATGGCAACAAGTTGTGGTTTTTTTTCTATTTATTTTGAAAAAATCAAAATTTAATAATATTTATTTATAATAATGATTTTAACACTGGCTTACTAAAGGTGAAAAGTTTAATTTGTTCGTCTTTGTGGTTAAAATTTTCAACCTCTTTCTTTAATTCAGTATAAATTATATTTGCTGCAGATGTTGGTATTTGAAAGGTTTCAAAATTGTTAAGGAAAATGCAGTTTGTGTAGTAAAATTGTAGCCGGTGGTGTGTAATTTTTATTGACATTTTTATTTTAAATTTAATCTACAAATTTAGAGGAGTTATTATTTTATTTGGTAATACTACTTCAAATAAAAAGTTGTGAAAATAAAATTGCTATTATGGGAATATTTTGATTGTTTTATTTAATTGAACATCAAATTTTAAGTTTATAAGGTATGATTGTAAATTTGTGGTTAAATAAGGGGAAACGAAATGAATTACTTTTATTTTCACCATCAATATTAAAATTTACTAATGAATCACTGAAAACTGAAAAAAAAATAAATGAGAATATGGGTTCCAGTTTTTTAAATCAACTGATCCACATTTACAAATTAAGGTTAACAAAATATTTCGAAGTTTTCAAGTTGGCATTTGAAATATGTAAGTATGTATTAAATTTATTGATATAAATTTTTAGTGATAGAGAATAAATACGGCACCAAGTTAACAAATTTACGGGAAGCATGCCGACTCTATCCTGCAAAATAAACCCTTTCTAAATTGCCTTTTTAAAATTTTGTGTAGTACGTAATTCTAAATTTATTCACTATCAACTTCATTAATTCAAATTGTTACAAAAAAATAATTGTCTTCATTTCAACATCTTAATATATATTTAGTATAATGAAGTTATATTAAAAAGTACACAAAAACCTATTAAACCTATAATTAAAAAAAACACCGAAAAAAAATATTAATTAAAATTTATTGATTTCAACACTTTAAACTTCCAACAAAATGCAACAGACGCTCTCAAATAAAAAAACAATCACACACAAAAGCCAATTAAGAAAGCGTTTTAAATTTTTTACAATAAGGACTGCGGAAATTGATCAATGATCAATGCAAGCTTCGCAAAAAAAATTTAGCTAAGTAAACCAAAAAATACTAAAATCTGCAACTCCGAAAACATGCTCTTAACAAATACGGCAAATCACGATTTAAATGTTTTCAATGCAAATTAAATAGACATACAGACAATGAAATGGCTTAAAAACGTTAGATGTTTAACAAACATAAAGACCAAGTTTAACCGAAAAACACACACAAATTTACATAAATCTTAAATGAATGAACAAAATATATGTTTATATTGTAGTAACAATGACTTTGGTACTACAAGTAAATCAAAATGCAGCAACAAAAATATAGAAAAAAGTGGCAACAAAAAAATGTTGACCATGCAAAAAAAAAATAAAAATAAAAAGGTTTTATTGTTAGTTTAAACGAATTCCAAAACACTTTAAATACAATTTTTTAACTAAAATGTTGTACTAGATCGAAATATAGAAGATCACTTTGAATTAAATGACTATAAGCTAGATCACTAAAATTAGTATAGGCTAGTACTAAATCAATATATACAAAATCAATGCATTATATCAATATAAACTAAATCACTTTAGAACATTTTATTTTAAACCATTTCATAAGATACTAGACAAGATTTCTAAATTACTATTGTCTCGATCACTATAGACCAGACATTATAGACTAAGACAAGACCAAAAACTGGATCAGTATGAATTACACCACTAAAAAACTTACCACTTTAGCCCCGCTTCACAATAAAATGACTCAATATATACACAGATAGATAGATAGATAGATAGATAGCTAGATAGATAGATAGATAGATAGAATAGGATAGATAGCTAGATAGATAGATAGATAGATAGATAGATAGATAGATAGATAGATAGATAGATAGATAGATAGATGATAGATAGATAGATAGATAGATAGATAGATAGATAGATAGATAGATAGATAGATAGATAGATAGATAGATAGATAGATAGATAGATAGATAGATAGATAGATAGATAGATAGATAGATAGATAGATAGATAGATAGATAGATAGATAGCTAGATAGATAGATAGAGCTCGATAAGAGAATAGATTAGATAGATAGATAGATAGATAAGCTTAGATAGATAGATCGATAGATAGATAGATAGATAGGATAGATAGATAGATAGTAGATAGTAGATAGATAGATAGATAGATAGATAGATAGATAGATAGATAGATGGATAGATAGATAGATAGATAGATAGATAGATAGATAGATAGATAGATAGATAGATAGATAGATAGATAGATAGATAGATAGATAGATAGATAGATAGATAGATAGATAGATAGATAGATAGATAGAGATAGATAGATAGATAGATAGATAGATAGATAGATAGATAGATAGATAGATAGATAGATAGATAGATAGATAGATAGATAGATAGATAGATAGATAGATAGATAGATAGATAGATAGATAGATAGATAGATAGATAGATAGATAGATAGATAGATAGATAGATAGATAGATAGATAGATAGATAGATAGATAGATAGATAGATAGATAGATAGATAGATAGATAGATAGATAGATAGATAGATAGATAGATAGATAGATAGATAGATAGATATACTACCGGCTGTACATGCTTAATTTCATGTTTCTTCGTTCAATATTATAAAAAATTCAAAAAATACCTTTTGAAGAACGAAAAAGTACCAAAAAGTCCTATTTTATAGGTTCTCTACATGCTTAATTTCATGTTTCTATAAACAAACATAGTACAAGAACAAAATTTACTACATGATAATGTGTGTTGTTGTTGTTAATTATTTTTGTCTATGCATTCACAAAAATTCCAATTTTTTAATGGAAGAATTATTGAACATTTGAGTCCCAAAGATGTTTTTGATCTTCATAAAATTGATTTCAACAAACGTACAGACGGACAGACACACAGACAGGCAGACAAACAGGCGTACATAGCTCAATCGACTCCTTATGAGATTAGAAAGTATCTTATAAACGTTTGGATGAAAATATAGTTATTTAAATTAGAACAATTACTGCAAAAATAACTCACCAACTAAGCACATGGATCACTAAAATTAACATATCTATAGAAAAATTGTAAATCGTAATAAATGTAAAAAAACAATAAATCAAAAACAAAAAAGTTTTCTTAAACAAGACAAACTTTAGCTGAAGTTCAGGGCGAAACAAAATGCATTGTACCACAAAGTGTCTGAGTATTATACCTGCAGAGACCATACTAGACCAGACCAGACAAAGTGTTACAAAAAAATTAATATCGTAGACAAAATAACAGACGGACAAACCCAGCAACTAAACAAAAAACTGTTACAAAATTGCAAGGAAATATTTTGTAGGTAAAATGAAAAGAAATTAATTTTTTTCTTGGTGAAATGGAAAGGAAGCTTTCAACACAAGGTAAAAGTTCAAGTTTTAGCTTATAAAGTAATAAATAATAAAGGGAAAAATAAAATCAAAATTTAATTTATAACAAAGGAAGAAATCTACCAATAATAATAATAATATACAAAAAATCCATAAAATAGTCTCACTATATAGAGATTAATAATTAAACTGCAACTTACCTTTTTCTTTTAACTGTTTGAATATTAAAACCACTTAAAAAAGAAATAAAACCAAAAGTTGTACAATTAAATGTTGAACTTTCAATTTTTCGAGGTTTTTAAAAGGCACACGAAAAATAACCAATTTAAATAAAAATTTGCATTTAGTTCTTCTTTTTTTCTTGAGGTTTTGGCAACATACAACCTCTGCCGAAAAATCACTGTTGCAGTAGTTTTGATTTTGTTTACGATATTTTTTTTTTTTTTTTTGTTAAATACACTTGAATTGAAACATTGATCTCATTGATACAATTGCCAAATACACGTATACGTACAACGAACAAAACAACAAACTGATTCAGCACACATCACGTATACGTACGAGTATGATCACACATTTACGTTACCTTTTGTATGTACACATGATTGTTTGATGATGATTGTATATAAATAAGTATGATTTTCGGAAATTTATTTATTTGTTTATTTCTATTCTTTTTATGTAATTCATGGATTGTTTGTTTATATCCCCGTCGATCGATTGAATTGTTTTGTTTATTTCTAACTGTCTGTCTATTCGGCGTTTTTTATTTTTCGTGAATCCAATTTAAAATCGAAAATATTCTTCAATTGCACTAAAATTGTAGATTTTTAGAAGAAAAATGTTGCGTTAGTTTTGTATGATGATGTTATT